TGCATACAAGTACTGATGCATGCAAATGAAAGTCTACATGTACATAAACATTGGTGCTCATTAGATGGGCAGAATGAGAGATATATTTACATTATACCCAAGCAGGTAGACAGGAAGACAGCAGGTGGGATAATAAGTGGGAGAAGTGTGGGGGTGGAAAATTGGAGGGACACAGAAGGAGAAAGAGTGAGTGAGATGAAGGCAAGCATGAGAGAGTAGGTACACTATAAAGAGACCATTTGGTACAATCAGCAACATGTAGCTGAGTCTGAGATGTAGTCCATTACTTTAAATTGTGTACTTAAGGCTTTCTATTTATTTCATAGATACTATTAGGGATACGATGCACATTATTGCTTTCCAAGGAAAACCTTCTCGGCAGGTAATACTTACGGTACGGTGTACTGATGCATCATACAACCTGCTGGCTGCCATACATTGGGTCCTAGGTATCTCCCTCCATTCATGAGATCCATGCAGGTATCCCTTCCTGAAGGGGATCAAGAAGATGAATGTATGAAATACATCTATTTCATTCTACAATTGTTCTAGTCTGCAAGGTGCCTCCAGTACTCTGTATCTCGGCCACTTCAAAACCATGATTCAAGATTAATTTATTCAACCAATGATTAAAAACAATCAAAGGAATTTGTAATGTTGGACTTGTATAAACATACAAATAACTCCATTAAAAATACCATACAATGAAACTAATTAAACTAATTACCACAGAGATTAAAACAAACTTTACAATTGCTATACACATACTGATTTTATAAAATTCCATTAATGAAAACCCCCCAAAATAGTTTAAATCTGTTTCTAAAACCAATTATTCATAAGTATTTCATGATCAAAAATGTCCATTATTAAAAACCTGCACAGCTGATGGCATAAACTGTTTTTGAAATGGTTGGTTTTGCACCCGTTCATCTCATCCTCCTTCCTGAAGGCATCACATGGAAAAACTCATTTACTGGATGATGCATATCATTATCAATATTTTGGACACGCTTCCTCATTCTCCTATCATAAATCGATTTCATGTCATCCGACTGAACTCCTACTATGTGTGATGCATTTTTAACCACCCGATCCAATCTATCAATTTCACACTTAGGAGTAGCATTGAACCAGACAATAATAGAGCTCGTCAGGCACGATTCAATTACGCATCTATAAAAATTAAGCAAAATATTTGTCACAGGTCTGGTACGCTTAAGTTGTTGCTTGTAAGCTGGCACCAGAAGTACCATCGAATGGTCTGAATTTCCAAGATGTGAGCTTGTACTCTAGATGTACTCTAGCAGGAAGTCATGTGACCCTTTGAGATGGAAGATTCCCACTGGTTGAGCTATTCAACGACGTTCATATTTTAATGAATTCCTGGCCATTCTAATTGCACAAACCTATATGAACAACAAATGCAGGATAGAAATATTAGGTATTGATAAACAGCGTCAAAGGTTAAAGTACTATTGCGCACCCACAAATCTTGTTGGAATTCTAGCGCCCCCTAGTTTTACTTGTTCTCGTACCTTGCATTCACAGGGTCTCTTATTTAGCTCAGCTATGCATTATGGACATGTAGCAGAGACGCTAATTTTGTATCAAGTTATTCATACTGTACTCTGGCGTGATCATGTGTTCCTTCACTCCATTGTCCTTGTGTTTTCTGTGCTCAGTTTGGCATGTCAGAAAACCCCCTCTAAGTGGCTGCGTGGTTGGGCGTGGTAAAGTTCCCTGAAATGCTAATGTTCAGAAACCTCAGACTTTGTAACTGTCAATCATTCGCCACAGATGACCGGGTAAGCACTTTCACGCACCCGGCTCAACACTTTGTACACGTGACTTCTTATTCTGTATTTTACCTTTTACACACAACACTTAGATTCTTGCACGCTATTCAAGCAGGAAGTCATGTGACTCTTTGAGATGGAAGATTCCCATTGGTTGAGCTGTTCAATGATGCTCATATTTCATTAATTCCTAAGCCTCTAGAATCCTACAAATAGAGCAGATTTTCCCTAGCTCGTCGAGCAGGTGCGGTGGACCAAACCCTTGTTACGAGAGCGGAACCTAACGTAGCGTGGCAGTTGGACCCTTTCGGAGAGAAGTGCGATAGTAACATTCTTATAGGGAAGAAATGTAACCATATGTGGTACGAAATAGCCCAGGGTGCTTGTGAGAGTCATAGCGGCCCGTCACCATTATGTCCGAATCGATTGCGGGGTGAGACACCCCCGTGTCCCTCGTCACCCTTGTCCTGCTAACTAGCCCTCGTCCTCCCCATCTCTACGCAGAGCCAATGGTACTGTACATACATGTACAATGTACATGTAGTACAGCGATTCTATCATTGCGCTCATCACATTGCAGTTGGAGCGGCAGTGCGGTCAGCACACACCGGCACTGGCCCCGTCCAGCTACATGTATTGCTAGTCACTGTGGTGGCCTGGGACAGCTCCCACTATGGCCTGGCCAAATGATAGTAGTCTAGTTGTGCGATGCTACACACCTGTACTGCACCCACTCCACCAGACTTGCATTTCCAATGGTCCTGCCAAACCGTAGTTCACTTACACTTGCATTCAACTTCGCCTCTCTATAACTTTGCCTTTTATGTGTTGTATTATGTTAAGCCACCGATACACCTTCTTCAAACCATGGAGCTATTAATGTGTTTAATAGCTACATGTTCAAACCCACATTGAACTTTGATGAAGAGAAGTGAGAGCAATAAACCAACTACATGTACAACATGTATCCAGTTTGACTGTCACCCAAACCTGTTGTTTCCCATCAACCTTTTAATAAATTGTTGACCCTAAATATCACATTCCGTAGACACTAGTAAAGTCCATGCTACCATTGACTTGACGTATTTAGGGAATGTAACAGTACATGGAATATGCTATACTCTCAGCACAGCTGTCTTACCATAGTAGTATCGTCTAAATCCATGACAAGTAAGAATCAAGGCTAAGACAACTGCAGCCACTTTCTTCCCATTCCTTTCAGTCAGTGCAGTTGAGATCCGTTCCAAGATGGTACGATATGAACTGATAATCACCGCTCCGGCCATTATGTGTAACGGTACATGTACTTAGCGATTACGTTCGAGTGTGAAATATTAGTACCCAGTTTTCTCAGAAATCTCTATCAGTAGCAACTGCACAAACCAGACAGGCAGCACAGCTGTTATGTAGCAGACTAACAGTACACTGATGGAACTGATCCATGCACAATGGGCGGTGCACCTGATCATCCTGACGGGCATGCATCGTTGTCATTATGAAGGCACAACGCCAGTAACAGGCTAACCTAGTTATACATGTACATGTTAGAAGCAAACAACCTCCCTTCAGTTCCACAATGGAAAAAATAAACCATAACCTGAAGATAACGACTGAAGTCATGGACACACACTCAACATCTCTGTGTACAAGATTCCAAACTGATCGAGCAATGAGCACCGAATGGCATTGCTATAAATCTCTCGTATTACCCACTACATACATGTGCTGTAACATCCACTTTTTTTACCCTAAAGATGTAAATCTTCCCTCACTGTACATACTGTACATGTAGGTACAAAAACGTACGGGTGGACTGTAGAATAGAGATGCTAACTTCTGGTACATGTAACGTATACCGGTATGTACCGGTACCGGAAGTTCACAGTGCTAAAATGTATTGGTACTTGTACATGTATGTACACATGTACATTACATGTATCTACAATGGAAACAATGCAATCAATTTGCTCTATTGTACCAAGCCAACTACAAAAAGCTGCCAGGAAACTAATGAAAGAATATCGGCAAATATATACATGTAGTTTATTCTTGGAGTCAGATCACAACCTTGTGTGATTGAAAGTCCCAAGTTTTGGATGACCTTGCTGAAAACGGCACACCAGAACCAAGGGTGGATCTGGGGGTGAGGACAAATGGGGTCATGTCTCCCCT